CTAGGAACATTCATGTGCAGGTTGTGTAGACATAACTTTTTGACTTGTTAGGATCAACACAAAGGGGTGTGACTGCTATCATAAGAGTATGTTTAGTTCTATAAGAAACTGCCAGACTGTCTTCTAAAGTGTCTATACCATCTTGATTTCTCACTAGTAATACATGAAAATTCCATTGTTCTACATCCTTGCCAACATTTGGTGTTTTAAGCATTTTGGACTTGGGCCATTATAGTAAGTATGTTCTAGTATCTCATTGCTATTTTAATTTGACATAGGATGTTGGGCATCTTTTCAGATACTCATTTGCCATTTCTTTATCTTATTTGCTAAGGTGTTTGTCCAGATCTTTTGCTTATTTTTAACAGGGTTATTTGTTTTCTTATTTTTAAAATGCTCTTTGTACATGTTCATTAATAGTATTTTAGTAGATATGCATTTTGCAAAGTTTGTCCCACTTTGTCTTCTATTCTCTTGACAGTATCTTTGAAGAGCAGTGTTACACATTTCAGTGAAGTCCAACTTAGAACATTTTTCATTATTATACCTTTGTGTATAATATCTAAAAAGTCATTGGCAAACCCAAAATCATTTTTGGTTTGTTTTTCTCCATGTTCTCTTTTAGCTGTTCTATAGTCTTTTCATTTTATATCTAGGACAATGATCATTTTGAATTAATATTTACATAAGATATAAAGTCTGTGTCTAGATACATTTTTTTTGCATGTGACCGTCCAATTGTCCCAGTGTCATTTGAAATGACCATCTTATCTCTATTGTATTTTTTTCACATTTGATTACTTTCATGTGGGTCTATTTCTGTGCTCTCTATTCTGTTACATTGACCGCTTATTATGTTCTTTTGGTTAGTCTAGGTTTTGCATATTACAGCTGATTTCTATTACAGATGAAAAAGGGGCATCAACATTTGGCAAAGGGAGAGCAAGCTGATTTTCAAGTTTCCCAAAATTTACTCTTTTGAAACCCATATCTGTTTTCCACCCTGGAAAACTTTATTTCAATGGAATGTTCACTAAGTACATAGGACAAAGTAATCCACACTATTTTACCCACTCTTCTAGTGAATAAGGCGGCAGTAAACTCTCTTGCAAAAAAATATAATCCTTAAGTCTAGAATTGATTCACAGAAAAGAGCAACCTTTTACATAAATATTATGATTAACTAAAAGTTAAATATGAAGTGGCGAATTGACCAAAGTGCCAGTATGCTAACTTCTCTTGAAAGTTAACACATTTTTATTTTTTAAATTTTTTTAAAAGATTATTTTTATGCATACAAGATTTTGGGTACAGGCCAGAGATGCAGGGGTTGAGAGGATCCACCAGAGACAGAGTGGGAAGCAGAACAGGCAGACTGACTGAAACACACTGCTGCGGGGAGCAGCAGGCGAGACAGGAGAGGTCCGCCTCACCATGTGGGTTGCCCCCTGGCTGGCTGGGGATTGAATTTGTGCTGCAGAGGCTGTGGATTGCTTCATAGTGTGGTGCTTAATCCCCTGTGCCACCAGGGAGGCCCAAAAGTTAACACATTTTTATAATCCAAACTGAAATATGACCGTCTCAACTTCTCCTTTCAAATCTTTTTATAATGTAATCACTGGATGTGCTGAAAGGTTGGTAATGTTTTCTCCCAGATTCAGCATACTTTGGATTGTTTGCAGTATTTGGTAGTTGTTATTTCATAAAAATGTTCTTAACATACAAGGTGAAACAGTTTTAAAAACATTTTAAATTAATTTGGTTTTTTATTGAAATACCATTTAAGAAAACTTTCACTTTCATTTTGCTAGGGAAAAAATGGTGGTGAGGGAGTCCCTGTGAGGTGTTTTTTAATCTAGTTACTTAATTCATTAATTTGAACAATTTAGATGGTATAATTTTAATTGTGAACCTAACACCAAGTATGAACCCAGGAGCAAAATCATCTGATAATTATGTATTTGAATAAATGAGACTGAACTGCTATGACCATGAGGAGAGTCTTCCTCTATTCTATTCTAAAGGCATTTAGGTAACTAGAAAACCAGATTCTTCAACCTCTTAGATAATGTTTTGTGAGTAATTGCCTGAAATACTGACGGATAGCACTAACAAATGATTTATAAATCTGTAGGGTATCTTACTCTTCAATTGTTATTTTTAGTCAAAACTTTCAAGAAATTGTAATGTATTGTTTTAATTTATATTTATGCAAATTGTTTATGTATGTTTGTGAATAGTTTATCATTATAAAATAATGTTTCTTTGCAAACTCTTTAGGGTCCAATAAACATGAAAACAAAAATTACGTTGCAAACAAAAGTAATTCATATATCCCAATACATGGAAGATTAGAAACACAAAATAATTCAGTATTAAGGCATTTATTCTTTAGATTGAAAAAATGGGGGGTCACTGAAGAAAAACCAGTCACAGAACACAGGCAAAGGAAACTTGTAAATCTTGAAGATGGAAAACTCATGGCTAAGTTCCCAAATTGCTCCAGTTCTCTGCTTGTGGAAAAGTTATTTGACAATAGTATAAGGATCTTGAATCCAAGTAAAACACAGCTGTGTTGATGAGATGATAAGTCACGGAAGTGTGTGAGGAAAGTCTAAATCAGTTGGGATCTGCAGTGTAGCAAAGAGGGGAGTTGAGCAAGATAATCTCCAGAAATCTGTTTAGATCTCATGTGAGTCCTTAGCTGACAACCAGGCAGCATGTACAGAATGAGACTACTGAAGGGTGACAAATAATAGTTGAGATTGGAATAGAGGTCTGGTGATGTTGTGGCATGATATTTTTAAACAGAGTGGAAGCATTCTCTAGCACCCCATTAGCACCAGAAAATTGAACAGCAGAAATTGTATACAAGAGGCAAGCACCACACCCTAGAATAGGACTTACTTTACAACCATTGTAACTAAATTATAGAAAACAAGTGACTAGTTTTTAAAAATAGACTGAAATATTAGACACTTAACAAAAGGAGACATATGGATGCTGTGCCAAGATGGTTCATATTATTATTTATCTGGGAAGTTCAAATTAAAATATAGTGACTTAACACTAGATACCATTAGAGAGGTTAACATTAGAAATAAAGCTTGGCAATGACAAATTTTTATTAGATTTTGGAGCAACTGGAGCTCTTATATATTGCTGTATTTGTAAAGGTATAAAATTGCCCAATTTAGAAAAGTTTGTAATTCCTTGTAAAATTGCATATACCTTCACCATATGGCTCAGAAAATTTTTCTCTAAGATATTTATCCCCAAAGGAAAATGTTGGTCCACCAACAGTTTACTTGTAAATTTTCATAGTAAATTTATTCATAATATCTGAATCTGGAAGCAAACCAAATACCTACTGATATGTGAATGGGTAATCAATAGCCACACAGTAGAAAATTACCCCACATATAGATTAACAAACTACAAATGCATACAGCAGTGGGGTAGAACTCAAAAACATTAAAATCAGTGAGAATACTTCAGTGACAAAAAAAGCGTTATCTCTTAAGTATCAGATTACTGCTTCAGATTTTATTTGCATAGATTGTTTTCCTAATTTAAATGATCAAGATGGATCATTTTCTAACTCTAAGACTCAATAATTCCATGATCATTTTCTAATAATTATAAGCTGGAGTTGGTAATGTTCATCAAGTTACCTAACACCTGACACATTAAGTATACCTTTTCGACAGCACTGAAATCGGAAAATTATTACCTTTTTTGAACTTAGGAGACGAATATACATGATACACGAATTGCTCAGTGCTGGGATAACTCACTCAGTCAAGATAATGGAAATAAAGGGAACATTTGACAGGTTTTTAAAAAGCAGTCTTCAGGGGCACTACCCTGTTTATATTCATTTGTGAGGTTCCTTGTGATAATAGCTTCACTTAAAATACTATCAATTGCTTAACAAGGGATTGTCACTGAAGTGCAGACAGCTTAAAGTTAAAATAACTCTTTGCAACTATTCTTGAAGTGTTATGTTCATTTTACACAGCTTTTATTGGAGCCTAACTTCAAAGAAACTTAAACATCATAAAAAATCCTAATTTACAGACTCAAAGCATTCATCTCATAGCCTTGAAAAGCTTTTTATTGGAAAACAAAACCATGTTATCTTAAGATGTGATTTTCCATGGCAAATTACTGACACAATAATGGCTGTTCTCATGAATTATCTTTTGGTCAGTCATTTCAACCCTATTTTATTTCAAAAATTTGTATGATGAACACAGTGCTTAGCTTGCAAGTGTGATTGGATTAGCTCTCTGCCAGTGAAGTCTACCTCTCATTCTGGCCTCTGTTTCTCTTTTTCCTATACACACACAAATAAATATACACACGTGCATGTGTAATCATACACATTCAGACAACTGCATACAAGACTGTACTCCTCTAGAGCTTTATTACTAGAATTTGCTGAGATTCTTTCTTACATCATTAATTTCCAGCATTATAACAGCTGTGCTCAAGTAGAGAGGGTGTTTAGATGCTGTTTAAGGGAGGCCCGGTTTCCTGCCACAGAGCACATTAGTTTATCATTCTGTTCCTCTATCCAAGTGATGGGTTGCCTGTAGGCGGATAAATGGTTCATATAGTTCTCAATGAACTAATAGCAAGACCATCTGTGCAAGACATTGGTGAGTCGTTGCTAAGGATGTCAGCCAGGGAGCCTTCAACTAATCTGGCATTCTTGTAATCAGTTAGGTGTTTTTGAAATGAGTAAAATTATGATGGATTTTCAAGAACTGTAGATGTTTTCTCTTTTTATAAAAGTCAGCTATGTTCATATTATATGCCCCATATTTACATTATTAACCTCCTCTGTCTATTTATATTGCTTATTCCCAATTATAAAATCTAATGGGAAAGCATGAATATATGTTGAATACTATTACCTGGCACGGTGAATTATAATCATTTAGTTTTTATTCAAACGCTCGTGTTTATCTTTTCCCTTGTTGTTTTGCTTTAAGTAGTGATTTGGAAGCAGAAGATAGAAAGATGCAACTCGGAGAGCAACAAGGTATGTTTGAGAATTATGCAGAAATCACATCCAAAAATTTTACCAGTGATTTGAGTTAAACACAAGGTGAAATTCTAGTTGAAATGCTGACTGAATTTTAATGATATCATTTGGTTCCTAACTTATGTCTCAAGTAGTCACGTTTAGAAAAATGTAAAATATCTTGGGAACGAAAGATGACTACACCTGTCTCCTCGCTTAATTCTGAAACATTTGTCAGTTTTACCTGCATGTGGCATCTCTTTTTGTTATCATCTCATAGTAGTTCAGGTTTCTAGTTCATTAAGTTTTGCTCAGATTAGAGTTTTAGGAGAGCATCACCAGTGGATTAGGACATTCCAAAATGCATAAATAAGCACTACTTAATTTCAGGTCTCTAACACAATGAAGTTAAAATTAGTCTTACATAAAACCAAAATCACAACCTTTGATATGTTATTATCAGACAATGAGAATATCTTTAAACAGGCATGCCAGCATTAAATTAAAGTGAAAATAAGCCTTCAGAGGACTTTCTTTGATGAAGGGTATACTTATTCTTTTAGTGTTGTTTTTTCTAAAACCATTTTAGAGACATTCTTGGAGATTATCTTTAAAATGACTGTAAGTTGTGTGAGAATATCACTATAATGTGTTTAGATTCTACTTTGTATCAGCCCCAATGAAAATACATATCAGCTTGATTATTATGCATATGAAGCACTAGTTTTATGTAGGGGTGATATAAAAACAAGTGAATAGTCTACAACGTACATTGTAGAAGTCATTCATCCCATCATAAATAATGCTGCATTAAAATTTATAGGCTACTGACAAAAAATAATTAATCAAAAAATAAATAAGCCCTTTTAAAATTTTGAGATAAATGCCATACAGACAAGTATATCCAGTACACTATAGTTATTAAAGTATAAAACAGGTAGACTTAATTTAGAATAAGGAAAGTGATATTTATATTGTCTGCAAAAGATATTGTAATGGAGGAGACTAGACTAAAAAATAATTCCACTGAAAGGTAAGTCACATAAAATGTATCCACTTTTCAGAAACTCTGTGTATTCAAGGAACTGAAATGTTTCCTGGGGCTGACATTAAGCCACATGGGAAACATTAGTCTTACTCTTGAAAGCAGTTATCTTCCACTAAAGTTTATTAATGAAAGACTTGGATTAGGGGAAAACAAATTCTTGTTGATTGGTAGGTTTATGTCCACCTAGCAGGGTTTTATTTATCTAATTTTTAATTTCTTATTCCATAGAGGGGGAGGGCTATACTTACTTCTGTGGGTATTGGTCCCAACTGTGGATAGGGTGAATCTTGGTAGGAAGTTTCAGCTTAACATCTGAATTGAGAATGAGGTAGAACAGGTTTGCCACTGAAAGATGTGTATGCTGTACTAAATTAATTATGGGTTTACTAAACAGTGGTAATATGTGGTATAATTGGTACAATGTGTTTGCCATGTTCTTTGAAAATATTTTGTTCTGTTCTAGTAGGGAAAAAATACAACTAAATGAATAAAACTTATGAGAAGTGATTAATGCAGATAATAAGTAGGTTAGTAACTTGTGAGACATATTAGTCATAAGTAGAATAAATGAAGCACATGTGTTTTGGATATAGATAGAAAGGATGGAACAAGTGCATCTTTTAAATAGAAAATGACAGAAACACCAAAGAAATCTTAAATATAAGGAACAGATCAAGATAGCTTTAGATTGACAATTTTTTCAATCTTCAATAGATATTCACTGATGTGGGGTTCCAGATTTAGCACATAAATATATAGGGCACTCACTTAGATTTGAAATTCAATGAACATCCTATAATCTTTTTAAGTATGACCCAGGCAATATTTAGAACACACTTATATTAAAATAATCAAATTTAACTTGGTGCCTGAATTTTATGAAGTGAATCTATAACTGTGAGCCCATTATGGTCCAAATCTGAATCCATGCACACAAAACCTAGAGCTGCTAGCACATTAGTCAGTGGGCTACCCCTGTGGGGTGTCTTAGATTACCCTGCTCTACTCTGCAGTAGAGCAAGTACGTCTTGTTGGCTCTAGGCCCCTTGCATCTGTGAGCTTCTCTCAATCCTCAGTGCTGGTCCTTGTCACCACACCACCAGTGTGGTAGGCTGAGACAGAGAGGACATATGGCCATTTCATGACAGAGGAGTCAGCCAATATATTAGCTCATTAAGACTGCTAGGACAAAATACCACAGGCAGAGTGACTCATACAACAGACATCTATCTCTCTCAGTTCTGAATAATTGGGAGTCTTCTAAAGAGTTGGTATGTAACTAAAAGCCATTAGATTAATAAAAAGGAAAAAAAAAACATGCCTAGGTTGGCTTGAAGTTCTTTGAAGGACATTGAGTTTAAGAACAGTTTAATAAGAAATAAAATAGTTTAATAAGTTTAATAAGAAAATAGTTTAATAAGAAAAATAATAGAAAAAAATAATAATAAATAAAAAATAATAATAATAAAAAATAGCTTAATAAGAAATAAAAAATTAGATAAATAAAACACTGCTAGTTGGACCTAAACCTACCAATCAACATGAATGCAGAACTTTACTACATTGGTCAGTAACCATTCAATTCTAATTAATTGTTTGTATATCTGTATGCATGTCTATATATATATATAGACATATATCTGTATTTCAGCCTATTTTTTAAAAAAATCTGTTCCTTTTCTGTCTAGTTGTCACTGAATATAAATTGTCTCTAATTTTAATTGAACTTCTTTCTCATTGGTCTCAAACATGTTGCATATAACTTCAGTTCATCCTAACATATAAGAGAATTGGCTTAAGGAAGGAATGCCATTGAAAACTTTTTTAGCATGTCTATACTTGAAATTGAAAATAAATTTTCAAAATAGTAGTATATGATAACATTTGGCCCATTGTCTTACAATAAACCAGTTTACTTACTTGGAAGGCAGTATGACTTATTGAACTCAAAAAACGATGAAAACCAGACACTAGCAAGTTGACATTGAAGCTGGCTTGCTGCTTTGTGCAACTCATCTTTGGCACAGTGGCTATTAAAGTACAGTGGATTTGTGCCAGAGCACACCTGTGGTGCAAATGGTAGTCATAAATTACTGCTGCGGTTGGCTAATATTGGTTCTGCAAGTAGAATCTTCAGATGATGTTGGAAAAAGAAAACTTCAGTAAGTTATAAATAAAAATATGGGCAGAATTAAGCTCATTATACCAACCATCTTGACATGACAAAGTAGGGACATTACTGTGATGCTATCGGTAAAATTAGTATCTCTGTTGAACTGATATTACTAGTGATATATATTTATACACATATACACATAATTCTATAAAATTACCACTGAAACAATGTAGAAAGTTCCAATTCAGAACAAGGAATCATTTTCCCTGTGACAAATCAAAAATAGGGATAAAACTCCCTATAATATAGCTTACTTTATTTCAAAAAGAATATAGATTTCAGTTCTTATTTTGGTTAGGTCATTGTTTATTCTATGAATTATTTATTCTATAAATGTGTGCTGAATGTCTGTTACGTGTCTGGCATCATTATGTATCCTGGGGAGGAGTTAGGGGATATTTTAGAATATTATAAGCTATGGGGGTAAAAGACTTTTGCTTGTGGCCGCTCTCCGCACCTACCAGTTCTTTAGCATTTAAAGGACTAAAGCCTTCAATCTCAGGAAAAGTTAAGCACACATTTTAGAATGCTTAATACAAGGTTTGACACACAGTGGATGCTCTATCGATAGTGATTTAATCTCTAATTGTTGACCTCCTTTTGGGGATTTAATTATGAATAATACATGATTTTACCTACAAGAAGCTAAGAAAACTAGGTTAAAATAGGAATGTGAACAACAACAATGGAGTGTTATAAAGAATCAATTGTGTTAAAAAATGTTCTTAGGCCTCCCTGGTGGCACAAGGGGTTAAGTCTCAGCACTATGAAGCTATATGTAGCCACTGAAGCATGAGTTCAATCCCCAGCCAGGGAGCTAACCCATATGGTGCAGCAGACCTCTCCTGTCTTGCCTGCTGCTTCCCTCAGCAGTGCATGTCAGTAGATCTGCCTGTTCTCCCCACTCTGTCTCTGATGAATCCTCTCACCACCCCTGCACCCACACCTGTGGTCTATACCCCAGCTCTTGTATGCATAAATAAATACATCTTTTTTTTTTTTAAAGTTCTTAATGCCAAACAGAGCTATGAGTGTCTGTGTATATCATGCATACACACACACACACACACACACTTTTTTTAATTTTCAGAGTGGATACATAAGAATCATAAAGCATATGTGAATATATGAAAAGGACTAAAATAATTGAAAGATGCAGGAAATGATGGTGATGATAACAAAGAAAATATTGTACTTGGCATTGTGCTACATGTTTTATATTATTTTAAATGTCTTCAAAATAGAAGAATAAAGTTATATTAAGGTTGTCATATAGAGAAATTGAATATTACAAATATAAAATAATTTCGCTCTGATCATATAGCTTGTACCTATAGTAGGTCTTGAACAGCTCAATTTATTTATTTATTTATTTTTACGAAGATTTATTTATTTATTTATACAAGCACTGGGTACAGTCAGAAGCGAGGGAGAGTGAGAGGATTCACCAGAGCCAGAGCGGGGAGAAGAACAGGCAGACTGACGAAATACAATGCTGAGAGGAGCAGCAGGCGGCAGGAGAGGTCTGTGCGCCATGTGGGACCCTCGCTGGTGGCCGGGGATTGAACCGGCGCTGCAGAGGCTGCAGGCAGCTTCGCAGCCCAGCACTCAACCGCTGTGCCACCAGGGAGGCCCTTGAACAGCTCAATTTAATAAAAATCTTTCATGAACAACTCCAATATTATATTCTTAGTTCAGTATTTATATAATTTTTATTTATTATTTAAAATGAAAAAAGGACTAAGTTTTAATATCTGCAATATCTTATTAAATATAGTCCAATGAAACACAGAT